CTATTAATAATCATTTTTGTACTGCCGAGTATATTATACATTCCGTTTGGGATTAAAGAGTGGTAGAAGAGATCACAGGCCATCCGATCCCAGATAAGTCAAAACTGGCAACATTGAAACAGGAAGGTGGAAGCCATTTCACTGCCAACTTTCAGGAGGATATGAGAAGTTCACAAAATTAAAGGGACAGTGCACAGAGCAGTAGGGCCTAGTGGTACAGTCTGAGGGACAGTGATGAGATGGGGAGGGCCTGATATTACAGTCTGAAGGACAGTGATGAGAAGGGGAGGGCCTGGTGGTACAGTCTGAGGGAATCTGCTCAGAGGGATGGGCCTGGTGATATGGTCTGAGGTACAGTGCTCATGGGGGGAGAGCCTGGTGGTACAGTCTGATGGACAGTGAAGGGGGGCAGGGCCTGGTGATATGATCTGAGGGGCAATGGTCAGGGGAGAGGGGCTGGTGGTACGATCTGATGGACAGTGCTCGGCAGGGTAGGGCCTGTTGGTACAGTCTGATGGACAGTGCTCAGAGGGAGAGAGCCTGGTGGTACAGTCTGATGGACAGTGCTCGGAGGGGGAGGGCCTGTTGGTACAATCTGATGGACAGTGCTCAGAGGGGGAGGGCCTGTTGGTACAGTCTGATGGACAGTGCTCAGAGGGGGAGGTTGGAGGGGAAGGGGTTGGTGGCACACTCTGAGGGAAACAGATTGGTTTATCAATTCAGGTATCAGCAGCTATTCTTTCATCAAGATGGTGATGAAAGATCATATTAACCTCAGGATTGCATAATGTCATTGTCATTGAAGCCTGAGTTGTAAGAAATATCTGAAAGCACAGAAATTATCCAAGGGCAACAAACTTTTCATAATCGAACATAATCACCAACTTTGCTCATTGCATAACCATTGGTATGGAATGAGCCAAATGCTGTTCCTTATACAAACAGTATAACTCAGCGTTCAATAGGCTTTAATGGAGAGCACAATGTTGGACACACAGACACAGCAGGGCTGAACAAAAACAAAGTTGCTGGAAAAGCTCAGCAGGTCTGGCAGCATCTGTGAAGGGAAAAACAGAGTTAACGTTTTGGGTCTGGTGACCCTTCCTCAGAACACAGTAGAGCTGAGGCAGGCATCAACAGGCCCCAGAGGCACCATTATCAGTGAAAGCAGCAAAAAAAACTTTCCTTCACCAAATATTTCATTAGGCCCTGCCTCTCACCTCGCCTGATCGGCTGGCACCCTCCTGCTCTCTTGATAATTGCAGCGATTTCCCTGTCCACAGCTCAGAGTCCTGCCTCCACAGTTACTTTGTGCTCAATGCTTCAGGTGCATGACTCTTCATCAGAACCAAGGAAAGACAGAACAATTAAATGATAGGAAGATTTTGAGTAAGTGAAAGTTTTGTGTGTGTGTGTGTTTGTGGCGGCGGCGGGCGGGGGAGGTGGAATTTGTCGTAGTGGGTAAGCAGAGGAGGATTAAGAACGAAAAGGAAGATCTGAACCAGCAAACAAAAACATGAAACAAAATGTTGGCTGCAGAGTGCCAAGTTAAAGGATGGTGACATCAGAGTTGGAAGCCCTGAGCTTCCTTCATTTGTCATTCCAATTTCCCCACCTTGCTCCTGTAAAGAATTATACCTTTCCTCCAAGTGAAGCTAAGCAATGGGTCTGGACCTGTCAGGCTCTATGTTGTCATGTTCAATAAAGCCTGTTGCTCACAAGAGTATAAAGTTAAAGTTTCCATTGTTCCACTCTCTTATTACAGAGATAGACAGCTAGCGGTGAGTTTAATCAGAGGATCACCACACCTCAGGCAAGTGACAAGGTTCAGAAGGTAAGGTGCTGATGGCAATCACAGCCAGTACAGGTATTGAACCCACTCTGCATCACAAACCAGCTTTCCAGCGACTGAGCTAACTGACCCCAGCAAGTGTGTAGGAGTCATATTACTGCAGTTTCCACTCTGACCTTTCTGTTCTTGTTGCAATGGAACACAATGCTAACTCAAAGAACAGCATCTAGTTTTTCAACACCTTACAGCTTTCTCTACTCAATAATAAACTCTACAATTTTAGAACATTACCTCTGTCATCATTTGGCTTTGTTTTGTTTTCTTTCTTTCCTATTTCTACATGTTGCATTCAAGTGGTTCTATTCACACCTCATCTCCAGTTCTTTACTATACCCATTATCACTTCCTTCGTCTTTTGGACCATGAAAACTGTTGCCAGTTAATCATCATCAGAGGAGCAGGAAGGCTGACGTTTCGGGCCTAGACACTTCATCAGAAAAGGGGGAGGGGAAGGGGGTTCTGAAATAAATAGGGAGAGAGGGGGAGGCGGATAGAAGATGGGTAGAGGAGAAGATAAGTGGAGCGGAAACAGACAGGTCAAAGAGGCGGGGATGGAGCCAGTAAAGGTGAGTATAGGTGGGGACGTAGGGAGGGGATAGGTCAGTCCAGGGAGGACAGACAGATCAAGGGGGCGGGATGAGGTTAGTAGGTAGGAGATGGAGGTGCGGCTTGAGGTGGGAGGAGGGGATAGGTGGGAGGAAGAACAGGTTAGGGAGGCGGGGACGAGCTGGGCTGGTTTTGGGATGCGGTAGGGGGAGGAGAGATTTTGAAGCTTGTGAAATCCACATTGATACCATTGGGCTGCAGGGTTCCCAAGCGGAATACGAGTTGCTGTTCCTGCAACCTTCAGGTGGCATCGTTGTGGCACTGCAGGAGGCCCAGGATGGACATGTCATCTGAGGAATGGGAGGGGGAGTTGAAATGGTTCGCGACTGGGAGGTGCAGTTGTTTATTGCGAACCGAGCGTAAGTGTTCTGCAAAGCGGTCCCCGAGCCTCTGCTTGGTTTCCCCGATGTAGAGGAGGCCACAACAGGAACAGCGGATACAGTATACCACATTGGCAGATGTGCAGGTGAACATCTGCTTGATGTGGAAAGTCTTCCTGGGGCCTGGGATAGGGGTGAGGGAGGAGGTATGGGGGTAGGTGTAGCACTTCCTGCGGTTGCAGGGAAAAGTGCCGGGTGTGGTGGGGCTGGAGGGGAGTGTGGAGCGGACAAGGGAATCACGGAGAGAGTGGTCCTTCCGGAAAGCAGATAAGGTGGGGAGGGAAAGATGTCTTTGGTGGTGGGGTCGGATTGCAGATGGCAGAAGTGTCGGAGGATGATGCGTTGGATCCAGAGGTTGGTGGGGTGGTACGTGAGGACGAGAAGTTGCGGTCCTTGAAAAACAAGGACATCTGAGATGTACGGGAGTGGAATGCCTCACCTTGGGAGCAGATGCGGTGGAGGCGAAGGAATTGGGAATAATGGCATTTTTGCAGGAAGGTGAGTGGGAGGAGGTGTATTCTAGCTTCAAAATCTCCCCTCCCCCTACCGCATCCCAAAACCAGCCCAGCTCGTCCCCGCCTCTCGAACCTGTTCTTCCTCCCACCTATCCCCTCCTCCCACCTCAAGCCGCACCCCCATCTCCTACCGACTAACCTCATCCCGCCCCCTTGACCTGTCCGTCCTCCCTGGACTGACCTATCCCCTCCCTACCTCCCCACCTACACTCACCTTTACTGGCTCCATCCCCGCCTCTTCGACCTGTCTGTTTCCGCTCCACTTATCTTCTCCTCTACCCATCTTCTATCCGCCTCCCCCTCTCTCCCTATTTATTTCAGAACTCCCTTCCCCACCCCATTTCTGATGAAGGGTCTAGGCCCGAAACGTCAACTTTCCTGCTCCTCTGATGCTGCTTGGCCTGCTGTGTTCATCCAAATCTACACCTTGTTATCTCAGATTCTCCAGCATCTGCAGTTCCTACTATCACTGCCAGTTAATCATCTTTCCTTCCACACTATCAGCAATCTTCCCTTTGATCTTGCTTCCCACAAACCCACTTTGCTTCTGCGAAACCTTATATCATTCCCCTGTTCTGGTGAAGGGCCATTGCTCTGAAATTTTAACTCTGTTTCTCTTTCCACAGAAGATACCTGGGCTATTGAGTGTTTCCAGCATTTTCAATTTTTATTTCAGATTTCCAACTTCTGCAGAATGTTGTTTTGTAGACAATTCCTTGAGATAAGTCTGCATTTATCTAAGTTAAAATATCTTTGCCCTTTATTTGGTGACACTTTCACTCTAAACTCCTTCACTCTCTAACCTTTCCCTGATCTCCCTGCCTGTTCCATTTGCTGTCTTTCACTTTCTCTCCAGTAAGAAAGCCATTAAATCCATTTCCCTTTAGTTCTGATCATTGGAGTCTCTCCATAGTAACCGCCAGATCTCCTGAGCTCCTCTAGCATTCTCTGATTATATTTCAGATTTGCAGCATCCACACTATTCTGCTTTTGTTTTAGGATAGGCCTGAAAGATGCCGGTTCTAATCCTTAGTCTGAAACAAAAACGATAATTGCTGGAGAAACTCAGCAGGTCTGGCAGCAGCTGTGGGAAGAAAGCGGAGTTGACATTTTGAGTCTGGTGACCTGTCATCGGGACAGAGGACTTGAAATGTCAACTCTGCTTCCTTCCCACAGATGCTGCCAGACCTGCTGAGTTTCTCCAGCATTCTACTTTAATCCCTAGTCTGATGATTTTAGCTGATGGAGTAAATGAGACAACGAATTGGGATTCTCTTTCATCAATTATTCAGTGACACACTTCTTCAAAGTGCAGTTAAGTGGATCCAAGCTGATGCCAGAATTGGATACAACCCCAATACCATCTATTACACTGAGTTTTATTAACTCAGACTGGAAGAGCGTCCAGTTGGGCAAGACAGTTCACCAACCCTGGAGCTGTAACCCCAACATGAGAGAAAAATTCAGACCAAAGCAAAGTGGATCAAAGTGACTTAAGAAACAGGTCTGACGTCAGGCATTTCTTCATATCTATTGAAAAACTGACTAAAGCAGATCTATTAGTGTGTAAAATGCTAACTGCTTGCAGAAATTCACACACACACATTCAAATAGACTTTCAATTTACAGTTTAATTTCTGACCGGTTTACAAAGAATAACTCCAATGCCAAAGCAAAACACCATTTTAACACAAACATACTCTTGACAGTGTATTTGTTTATATAGCATCTCTTTCCTTTCTAAAATTCTAATCCAGAAGATGGTTTCAGGATTTACTGAAAACAGTTTTATTACTTACAGACGCATATGTAAATTCATTCAGAAAATTGGGGTGGGGGTAAAGAAATGTGGGTAATTCAGTAGACTTGACCAATTGTTATTTATTTTCCTAATAGTAAAACAATCCTAATATTAATTGACTAATAATATTGTTCCTATGGGCAAATAGAAAAATTTTCATTTGGTAAGAAAAATTGTGCTGCTGTTGACAATAAATGATTAGCAATTACACACATTACTGGTAAAAATCCAGAGTGAGTGGGACACTTTAAGAAACTGTTTGGTTGACTGTTTTAGTCAAGTATACATTCCAATTATGCATATTCCATGGGCATCAAATTGGAGAGAGGAATTCTCCAAAGAAGCAGCATTTTCTAAATGGACGAGAAGTCAAATGGCAAAGAAAGTCATTTTTTTTTTGATTGATACCCCTGAGCACCACAATCCAGCTTTCACTTTAATGCACTGGATTAGTCAAGAAGAAAACAAAAATAAAGTTTCATACAGAGCTAGTAAGCCATTTTAGAATCTAAAGTCCTACTGTGTAGCATTGCAAAAAAGCCTAAACAAAGTGAACAACACATAATGGACACAAGTAATATTTACTAGCAACGTGCTACTGTTCAACGAAGTGTGAAATGTATTGTTTGATCTTTGGTACACAGCAAAAAAGAAGCCACCATTATACCTGGTTCACAGTAAGCTAGAATTCCAGCTAATGGCAACTTGTTCCCTTCCTAACACCCTGCAAAGATCCTAATGATGCGACTGGGAGTTGACAATCTGCTATTCAGAATAATGAGGTAGGTGTACAATAGAATATTCCCTTCTTTGGTACAACATTACAAAATTTAAAAAAAAACAGTGACTGGTGAAAATAAATGCTTCACAAGTGGCTTTACAATAAAAATACAAATTAAATAAAATGACTTCTATGAGGTATATTATGAGCATCTCTTTTTTTCTCATTAAATGTTAATTAGAAGATTCACGAGGTATTCGGCTGCATCTGTGAACAGCAAATGGACAGGGGTAGAGGCAGAGGTTGCCATTTGAGTATATCTGAAGTCAAGAAAAAGAAATCAATATACCAGCAAGATACTTCTTTCAGACTAAATTCTATAGACTTGACAAGCCTTTGCAATGAGCTGTTGGATTCTGACAGCATTAATTTGAACAGACACACCTCCACCTCCCCCTTGACTCCATTCAACAGCCTGGGTCAGTGCATCACTGTCAACATGATCATCTGGCCCTATTCAATAAAGCCACTTAATTGATAAAACTGCCCCACTGCTTCTTTTTCTTTCTCTTTGTGCACTTAATCATAAATCTCCATATTATCGCTGCACAGGGACAGACGTGCAGCCATCATTGTGAACAACAGGACGTGGATGATAAGACAGAATTGATCCCTGTAACATAGTTGTAGCTTTGTAAAAGGTCAGGCCCCAGATGTATTCCCAAGATTCTTGCCTGATATGGCAATTTCCTTTCGAGATCCAGTACCGTATGAACAATCCCCAAGCTGTTTTCTCTCTCTGTAGTCTTATGAAGATTAAACTTCCTTCAGTAATTTAGTGTCATTCGCACCAAACACCATAAACATAAAGGTGTCAATCAGACCATTTAAAAACTGTTCCCCTGCTTCAATATTGTAATATTTTCACTTTTCTTTTATATTTACTTTTATATTAATATGATTGTTGAATTCAGCCCTGTGATTGATGCCATATATCCTGATAAATTATTCCTCTCTTTGGTAAAAGCTGAGTTACAGTATATGTTATATTTTTTTCCTGAAAACAACTGATTATTGAAACAAAATAATCAATCCCCCTCAATCATGAAACATTATTAGGATGCAAATATGATCAATCGCTTTTTTTTTCCTTTTTCTCCCCTTCATTTTGGCCACATCTAATAAATTTTCCAAAAATTGAGCACTTCTGCAGTACGCAATAAAACGGACAAGTGTGTCCAATTAAAATGGTCATCCTGAATCTCATCACCATCTTCATTGAAGAGTCTGTGTTTATGTGGATGTCCATTTAGAAATATAAGTGTCAACCCACTTACAGAAAGCAACAGATTTACGCTAAGTTAAAATCTCTGATTTTGTTTTTCTTTCACGAAAATTGAGTGGATTCCAGTCCAACAGTGATTAACTGTACAATATAGTAAATGTGACCCTCCATGCATGATTGAGTTTATTTTCCCCATCACTTCACCTGCAAAGTTATTAACATTCTCATTGCAAACTTTCCTTGCAAAAAAAAATTACACTGTCAAAAAAACACCAGAGTCTTCAGGGACTGTCTTGTGTGATCTCCTGTGTATTGTTGAGGCTTCAAGGTGCAGAACTGGTCGGAGTGTGAACGTGAGATGAGGAAGAGGAAGGCTGGGCTTGTGCTGCTAATGCCGGACTAGGCATGACCTGAGAGCTGCTGTTGTTCCCGTTGCTGCCAGACATTGCGGGAATGACTGGCCTTCGTGCGAAGAGAACCCCTGAGAAAAGGTAAAAGTTAGAATTCGCTATTTAATACGAACACACATACAAACACACGTGAGCATATTCTCAACAGATAGATAGGTATATCCTATTCCAATTTCTAATTGAACACACGTTGGTCTTAGGGTGGGTTGGAAGTTCAAATAGTACAATTTTGTGTTTAAAACTGAAATAAAAATGCCACAGTTTATTCTACTTCCTCCAACTGTCCATTGAGAAACCAGTCATTGGCTGGGAGAAATGGACAATGCACACATGATACTTCCTCTATCTCGCTGTACCCAAAAATTCCAGTCAAATGCTGTACATGCATAAAGAGGCTCTGGGTCTGTTTCAACGAGGAGGACGACATGCCCATTTGCAGGAATCTTTAAAATTGCAGCACAGTAAGAATCATGAGATAACAAGGTGTAGAGCTGGATGAACACAGCAGGCCAAACAGCATTAGAGGAGCAGGAAGGCTGACGTTTCGGGCCTAGACCCTTCTTCAGAAATGGAATCATGGTTGTCAGTGGGGCAGATAAAATCAAATGGAGGTTTTTAAAATGACATTAGGATTTGATAAACACAAATACACTACTTTCTCTTATAGCGGGATTTCACAAGTGAGGGAGTTCAATCTTTAAAATTAGTACCAGGCCATTTAAGAGTTAAATGTGAAGCAATTTTCAGACAAGTGCCAGTAGGTGCCTAGAACTCTATTTCCATAAGGCTGTGGATGCCAGTTCAGTTTAGGTTACTAAGATGGAGATGAATGTACTTTTGTTTGGCAAAGGCATAAACATACATAGATCAAAGACAGGTGAATGTTGTTGAAGTAAAGATTGGCCTTGACATAACAAAATGGAAAAACAAGTTTGAGGGGCTGACAGATCAATTCTTACATACTCTATAAGGCCATGCAAGTTTATATTGCATTAAATTGGCTCATATGCCAAAGTGCCGGTGTCAGACACTCCTGTATAAATAGTTGTTAACATTTACAAGGAACAACAATATAATTCTTACTGTAATTCACAGTTTATTGAGGTGTATCACTTGCATTATCAACTTGATTTTGTAAGGTATTTAGACAGTCTCTGGGTTGTGAATGAATTCTGTTCTTGAGTACTTTCACAAATCGATTTGTACGAAAGTTGGAACACAATGCCGGGATGATCCCTGGTATGGAGGGATTGTCTTATAAAGCAGAGGCTAAACAGGTTGGGTCTCTATTCACTGGAGTTTAGAAGAATGTGAGATGATCTTATTGAAACACATAGGATTCTTAAGGGGCTTGACAGGGTAAATGCTCAGAGGATGTTTCCCTTCATGGGAGAGTCTGGGACCAGAGGGCATAGTCTCAGAATAAAGTGGCACCAATTTAAGACTGAGATTTGGAGGAATTTCTTCTCTCAGAGGGTGGTGAGTCTTTGGAACTCCTTGCTACAGAGCTGTGAGGCAGAATCCTTGTGCATAATTAAGACTTTACATAGATTCTTGATCCGTAGAGGAATCAAGGGTTGTGGGGAAAGGGCAGAAAAGTAGACATGAGGAGTGTCAAATCAGCCATGATCCCATTGAATGACAGAGCAGGCTCCAGGGGCCAAATGGCTTACTCCTGTTTCCATTTCTTATCATCTTATGGTCTTAGGGCAATATAACATAGCCGTTTATAAGTGTGAGGAAACATTCACATGTCAGCTCTTTAAAATTAATATTAATACACCCCTGTGTGTGAGTTTGTTCAGAAGCCTGATATTTGTGAATTGAGGACCATGTGTACAATTTTAGTAGGTAATAAATATAGAGGTAAATTATTGGTTATCTGATCTTGAGCAAATATTGACAAATCCATTTTGACTGCACAATCCTCCAATTTATAGTACTTTCTATTTTAATTATGGAGAAACCTGGGTTAAGGGTGGCATGGTGGCTCAGCAGTGATCCAGGTTTGATTCCAGCCTCGGGCGACTGTCTGTGTGGAGTTCTCATCATTTCTGTGTGGTTGTCCACTGGATGTTCTGGTTTCCTCTCACAGTCCAAATATATGCAGGCTAGATGGATTAGCCGTGCTAAATGCAGGGTTACGGAGACAGGGTTAGAGGGCTGTCTCTGGGTGGGATGCTCTTTCGAGGGTCAATGTAGACTTGATGGGCCAAATGGCCTCTTTCTGCACTGTAGGGATTTTATGATTAAGTGACAAGGCCTGCTGCACCAACACAACTAAGACTAAAAAGAATACGAGAGAAAATTAATGAGATAATAACATAGTGAAATGTGAAGAAAACTGCCACACTTTGCCTGTGAATTTTCAATGAACTTCCATATTGGAGCCACAAAGAATATAACGATCTTCTTTTCAGTGATTATATTATTTTTGGGCAAAAGTGTGCAATCTCTTACAAATGCAAAATCTACCTGAGTGTATTTCCCTTCAGCTCTGAACAGGGAGATCAGTATAGGATTTGATGCTGTCATGCCAAATAATTTCAGTTTAAAATTTTGTTTTATTTTCACAATCATCCCTTTTGTCATTTAATCTTACTTGCTTGACTTCCATTCTATCACAGACTCTCCTTATTATTCCTTCTCCTTTCACCACTTTGTTTGCCTTTGTACTTACTGAAACCTTTTGCACCATGAAAATGTTAGCTTTCTTCAGTCGTTGACCTGAAATGTTAACTGCTCTTTCTCTATGATAAGGTCATCTCTAAGTTTTCTAAATTCCAACGTGTAAAGACACAAGCTACTCAACGAGTAGACACAACCTACCCAACCTCTCCTCATTAGAACATCCTCCGATGTTCTCCTCTGTCAACCTCCTGGACTTGATGCTGCCTGACCCGTTGAGTTTCTCCAACCTTTTGCATCTGCATTTCAGTTTTAGAACATAGAACAGTACAGCACAATACAGGTCCTTCGGCCCACGATGTTGTGCCGACCTATTATCCTACTAAGATCAAACTACCCTACATACCCTACATTATACTGTTTTAGATCTGAGTTCTGAAGATACTGAATGTTATTTTGAATTTTCCGTATTAGCACACAAGAATGCTATGATGGTGAACACCTCAGGTCAATCTCTTCAGTACAATATGGAATACAGAAGCAGGCCTCTGTAGTGTCTTATAAAAGAGCACCAGGAAGGACAATCAGCACGCATTTAGACACAATTGGCAAATTTGTTTCTGAAGATGGTGGATAGGGCCAACTGTCAATGTTATCCACCTACTTAGGATCCTGAGAGGACTTAGCAAGGTGGATGCTAAAAAGGCATGTTCCCAGATGGAAAACCCAGTTTATGGAAGCACAGTTTAAAAATCAAGGTTCTTCCATTTAAGGATGAGTTGAAGAGAAATATTTTCACTCGAAGGATCATGAGACTTTGGAACTCTCTTCCCCAGAGAGCAGTGGATATAGATTCACTGAATGCTGTTAAGTCAGAGGTAGATACAGTCTTGACTAACAGGGGAATCAGAGGTAAGTGGGAGTCACAGCATCATAGAATCTCCTCTCACTTCAATAACATGCCCCCAGTTTTGGACTTCTTCACCTTCGGGAAAAAACCTTTGCTATTTACCTTATCCATGCCCTTCATGATTTTATAAACGTCTGTAAGGTCATTCCTCAACCTCCTACACTCCAGTGAGAAAAGACCCAGCCTATCTAAACTACTATTAAAACTCAAACACTCCATTCCCAGCAGCATCCTTGTAAATCTTTTCTGAACCCTCTCCAATTAAATTTTCTAGAATGGTGGAGCTGCCTTGATGGGCTGAATTTCCTGCTCCTGCTCCCATAGTCCTATGGTGCTGGAATCCTTCCTGCAACATAAAAGGGGTAAGCACCAGCATTCCTTTGCACACTGTAGAATGATTGGAAATATAAACAGGGTCTATGGATGGCTGATTATGGTTAGCATGGTGTCAGGCAATTCATGAGAGGCTTCAAAGTACAAAGGCTGCACCAACTATGAAAGATGGGTGAATATTTCACTACAGTTCCACATGCTACATTTTTTTTCTGGTCACGACAACACAGTGGCTCAGCGCCTGGGACCCAGGTTCGATTCCATTCTTGGATGACCGCCTGTGTGGAGTTTGCACATTCTCCCTGTGTCTGCTTGGGTGTGCTCTGGTTTCCTCCCACAGTCCAAAGATGTGAGGTTAGCTGGATTGGCCATGTTAAATTGCCCAAAGTGTCCAGGGATGTGAAGGCTAGGTGGATTAGCCATGGGAAATGCAGTGTTACAGCAATGGGATGGGTCTGGGTGGGCTGCTGTTTGCAGTCAAAGTGTAGACTCAATGGGTGAATGGCCTGCTTCCACACTGTAGGGATTCTATGATAATGTTTGCAACAGCTTTCTAAGCTGTCGATCTTTTTTAGTACTGTATGCTTCTGTGCTTGGTACAACATTCCTGATAACTATTCCAGTCCTATCCACACTTCCATTCCACCCCCCTACTTCCCCATTCAATCTTATTTAATTCCATGTTTCTATTTGTTCCTTATGGAGTGGGTGGAAGTTAAAGGGCAAGTGAACATGGCAAAGAAGACTCTGAACTACCAATGCTTACACAATGGTAATTAAACCCTCAGCTCAACAACACAGTCTGGATTCAGCAGTCTGTTTCTCAATCTAAGACAATGAGCACAATCGACCACAAATCAACAAGGGCAATTTCAAGATATTTAACTTTTTTAACTGCATTGGACTGCCACTTCATTAGAATGGATTTTATAGTAAAGACATCAAATTGTGTATAGAACTTAACGCCACTGCACTGCTATAAGTTATTGGATTTCCTGCTTGCAATTACATCGGAAAACAGCCTTCTATTTACCTGTGTAGACAACTCCATTTATTTCTATTGACATGTTGATGCTGCTAATGCCATTTGTAGACAGGTTCAATGCAGTTTCTTGTCTGTCATCTGCTGGGGAAAGCAAGAAGAAGAAAATACCAATATGAGTGTCAAAAAGTAAGATAGCTGAGAGAGTAAACTAGAGATGATAAGCTGACTCCTGGGACCTGATCGCACTGCGATATTTGATTACTAAGTTTCTCTTAACAAATAGTCTAAATGTTTCTCTTCCCCTTCCTTACATGTTTTAATTAAGGTAAAATTTGGCCCAATTAATGAAATTCTTTATCATCTACAGTTTTTCTTTCTAACTAGATTCTGTAAGTTTTTTAAAATAAAGTATGGGGAGTAATTGACATCTAACCACTTCTTTTTAGTTCTTCCTCCTCTTTTACACTTTGATATGTCCTACATTATGAAGTTTTAGTTTTCACCCCGATTTTGTAATAAAAAGGTTGACTCTAGATTAGTTATAAAATGTTCTGTAAACCAAAAGGATATCTATGATGATGGGCATAAGACGAGAGAAAGTAATCCTTGACCGATCAAAGTTCGCTCATCTGGTTTAAATTTAAACAAAGCTTAGCCATTAATTGTCAGTAATCATCTAACTGGTGCACTCTCCAAGGCAACACCTCTACAAATCAAAGTCCACTCACCAACCAATCACCATGCTCATCTCATATAGTATAAAGATGCTGTTCCCGACTGTAGTGATTATAACAAGGTGGGCTTCATAGAATATGAGTTCCCTGATTGGGGCTAGTAATCTGGTCCAATCAGGGAGCCCTGGCTGACAGATTAGAACAGAAGTGTCAGAAGTTCTGTTCACTCCGAGACCTGCCTCTGATGAAGCCACGCCAGTGTCAAGTACTATGCATGTGTAAATAAAGGATGACTTGATGACACCATGCTGGCCTATGTAGAGTTATTTCAACCTTGACATTGGTATTCTTGTGAATTCTTTAATACAAGATGAAAAACTTCAATTCAAGTGATTTTTTTAAAAGCAATATTCAAGTTCTCTTTCACTGAACAAACTATTGAATATGAAGCAGTATTTGTACTTCTGGTGTGTCACTTATCTGGATTTCAGTGAACAGTCAGCATGAAGTGTGTGCTTTGCAGGCATTCAACCACAGACCAAGTACAGCTAGTATCATAGAATTTTAAAACTCAGAGGGTCATTTAGTTCGTTGTTGACTTCTTGAAAGAGTTATCCAATTATGCAGACACCACAGCTTCTTTCCTCCCTTCAGATTGCTATCAATTCTCTTAAAATCATTCTTGAATCCTCTTCAGTACCCATCCAGTGAGTGCATAGGATCATGGGTCTTAGGAACAGGAGAAGACGATATGGCCCTTCAAGTCTGTTGTAATGGCTGACCCGGTTGTGGTCTCAACTCCACTTTCTTGCTTGCTACACTAGATTCCCTGTCAGTTAAAATTTATCTAAATCTGCATTGAATATATCCAATGAACACCAAATCCTTCCGCCTCCCGAGCCCACCCTCGCCTCTGTTATTTCCTATGAAAGAGTACTACATGTTAATGACACTTTGAGAGAATAAAAAGTTTCGTCATCTCCTTCTTCAAAGGCTCTTATTTTGAAACTGTTCACCTTACATCTGGTTTCTATGACAAGAGAAATTCCCTCTCCGAATCCACCCTGTCAAGACCCCTCAGGATCTTATGTGGTTTAATCAAATCATCTCATTCTACACTCCAATGGATAAAGGTCCAACCTGTTCAATCTTTCTGCCTAAGATAAACACTTTCATCCAAGGAGTAAGTCTAGTGAACCGACTCTGAACTGCTTCTTATGCAATTTTTATCTGTATTTTCTTCAATAAACAGTACTCCAGATGTTGTCTCACCACATAGCTGCAGTAAAATTTCCCAACTCATATTCTATTCCTCTTGCAATGAGTATAAACATTCCATGTTTTTCTTCCTATTCACCTAATGTACCTGCAAACTAACATTTTGTGATTCACGTACCAGGAAACCATGATCCTTCTGTACCTTCAAGTTCTGCAAATTTTCTCTGCATTATACACCACAGTATGCACCAAAAATGTTTTCCTTCCATATAACAGGCCGCATACCATCAAAAGGTGCAACATCCAGAGGGTAAGCTCAGAGGAAGAAATGTAGCTTACAGTATCAACTTCTGCACAGGATGTTTTCAAGTACAAACAGAAAACATCACTCATTCAATCTTATGCAATTAAAACAGAAGCTAGGAAGAATAGGCTAAAGGTTGAAGACAGTGAAGGCACCACGACGAGCCTCAGGAAGGTGAAAGTTACATGATGCAAAAATCAGCCATTAAAATAACATACATGTTGCAAGCTTCCCTAGTGAATTATGAAGTCCTTGGATCAAAACCATTATGTGTTGCAAAACAAACACTGGCTTTAAAAGAAACATAATGAAAAGGGAGCAGAAATGGCATCAATTTGAAAGCTAAAATCTTCCAGCACTTGCGTTAATTAAAACATTGAAAATTACTGACAATAAGCTAATCCATAAAATGACATCATGTTCTCCTGGAGGCGAAAAGGCACTTAATCATACAGAGGGGTAGCATACCCTAACCTCCACTGTTTTCTCATCTCCACCAGAATTAAGTTCAGGCAGGGAAGGTCCCTGTTCAAGCTACCTACCCCACCACCACTTGATGCCTACTGATTACTCCCGATATTGTGCATTATGTACCATCAGGACTTAGTGCCCTTTTGCACTCCACATTCAACAATTTCTTTCAGTGCTATTTCCCTTTATTTCTCATAATTATTCTAGCCAATCGTGTAACCTTTTTATTACCTTTCACTATTACTCTCTCGTGTAAGAAGTGATGCAAAGTACTCATTCTGCATTGCAACCTTCATTCAGCATGAGATTTATTTTTTTCATTTCTAACCCATTTTAAACTTTCCTTAACAATGCTTTTACAGGTTTATGTCTCTATAAAATCTTTATTAGTTTGTTTTTTTTTAATAACTGCAGGGCTTTTTCCTATGTCTCTGCTCCTTTTCCAAGTTTTCCCACTTCCATCTATAGTTTCTATTCTGCCCTTGATATTATTTCATCGAATCACAGAATTATAAAATGATACAGCACAGAAGTACCCATTCCACATACCGGATCCATGCAACTCCCTTTAAAAACAACTCAGCTCATTCTACTCCCTTATGTGTCACATTTTTAAAAGTTTCTTTTAAAGTCTGGTCACTTTAATTATCTCAGGAATGTCAGTTTTGTTGCTACATGCTCTTTACTTCTTGTCAGTACATGTCCTGTCTCTATCGTAATCATCTCTTTGAAGATTTAATTTTTTTGCACACTGCCATTTTTGTTCATTCCTCTTTTCACTCTGACTTGCGTGGTATTCACATCAGCTGGGATCATAACAAGTGTGCATTCGTCTGTGCCAGGTCAGATGACCAAACCTACTGCAGAGAACTGAAACAACAAGGTGCAGAGCTGGATGAACACAGCAGGCCAAGCAGCATCATAGGAGCAGAAAGGTTGACGTTTCGGGCCTAGACCCTGTTGTCTCGGATTCTCCAGCATCTGCAGTTCCTGCTATCTCTGCAGAGAACTGAACTTTCTTTTGCCAGGCAAACCATCTTGGAGCCAGGGTGACTCCAAAAAGGTTCTGTATACTGCAGCATAAGAGTACAACCACCATTTGGTCAATAGACTACTCACATATGGAGCTTCTTATCCTCATTTCATCGACAGAAAGTACAAGGAGCCCTCAAAACTGAAATGCTATGCAACACAACTGCCATTAAAAGTGTGAGTACTTTTCTATTATGATCACAAATAGAACTTCAATGCACACCACACCCTTATATTTTCTCCAATTGTAAATGTGGAACTTCAGCAGCAGTTTTAACAGCCTTTCAACAGCCCAATCATAGGACATGGTAAAAATTGGATATATGAGGCTGTGTTCTCATCGTAGACATCTGGATAACGTCTTGCAACAGCTGATGCTCCATGTAGTTAAAACACCACTGTGGCAGACTGCTGAAGATTTGACTCAGACCTTGCCAAGGATATAACTTGCCAGTGCATTCCCAATATTGACACTTGAATATGAAATGTGAGCAGATAGTTTATTCTGCAGCACAGGCCTATCTCAACTTTCTGGGGAATGAAAACAATTGAATAAAATCCGCAGGCCTTCATAGGAAAGTACGAAAGGTGGGGACCATATGATATGCTGTCAAAAGTACTTTAAACATCACATCACGAAACAGAAATAAAAGGTCTTTTACCGTAATCTGCTAGGATTTTTCCATGCAAAGTAAACATTATTATCTGATTATTTGAACAAATTACACAGCATGTTATCTCAAATGTACAACTATATAGAATATCTTAACACTTAGTCAGAAGACATATAATTATTACTTCTTGAAAAAACTTTAGACAAACGTTGATGTCCACAGGGAAGAAGACAGTAAATGTAGAAAAACAAGACTAATTCAAGCAGAAACTAACTGGATTTAAATTTCAAAATCCTGTAAGACAGATGGAAGGAGGTCAGGAGAGCCATACATTGACAAGAGGGAAAAGAATTAATTAAGTTCAGAGACAGTGAGATGGGTATAGGTTTCAACACAACAAAATATACACATAAGCCTGTTACTATTGCAACAAAATGGAGATGACAAGGAAACAGGTATTCTAGCAAATACGTAAAGAAAGGAAAGCACGTTAGTCATAGAGAATTTAAGATTACAAGTGAACAAGGAGAATGTATGCTTATTGTGATGATGATGTGCAACAAGGCAGAGTATTAATGAGGAACCTGAGACAGAATCTAGCACCTTCACATGAATTTCACCTCCTCGCCTTACCTCTGCTATTGATTTTAATGTTCATAGGGATCTGTGACGCCATGGCCAACAGGTTCTGCTGCAGTGCTTGTTGCATAAGTCGTTGCTGCTCTTCTGCTACAACTGAAAGCTTTTTCTCCGGAGGCTCCCCAGAATCCAGTTTCTCACGCAGCTGGTCCAGGGCCGCGGCCTGAGCTGCTGCAATTTGTGCAGTGGCTGCCTGGGCCGCAACAGCCTGAGCTGTGGTCACATGATGACCAGCGATACTGAGTGGGATTGCTATTCGATTGTGTCCAGCTGTTGACAGCATTGATTCTTCTAGAACAGAAATAAAGAAGGAAACAATCCATGACCCAAAGAATTCCACCAAATACATAATCAGACCACAACCTACATTACTGCCACACCTTGGTCAGGTCATAAGGTTTACAAGGGTCAGATTTTGATGGATTACAAAAATAAAAATAATCCTTAAGATTATCTGTGAAAATCACTGCTAGGTTTAAATAATACATCTGAAATTAAAAACCTTTGTTCAGAGGCTTTGATATTTTTATAACTCGCCTTCCTGTGTCCTTTAGCTCATAGCCTCCAAAGAATCCCAAGTTGACAGTACGGGTAATCTATTCTGCACTGCATTGTGGAAGGTGCACTTTAAAGGGGAAAAAAAAAAGTACCTTTTGGGGCATCAATGTCAATTGAAAATAATGTGAAGTACACAATTCTGGTGGATTCAGAGGTTGAGGTGGATAAGTCATTAAGTGGCACCTTTCCTGATGAGGAGATGAATTCTCATTCCAGAGGTGAAGTCATCAGTGATTTTTTGCCTTGTGCCCCAGCAGCAACTTAAGGGTGTTCCAGAGCTACTCAGAAATTCTACAAGAAATATCCCGGTTAACCAATAGAATCTCTCTGGATTTTTCTTCATATAAAACATTCTAGTATATCCATTATTTTTATGCACCAATTTGTTTATGCCAGAAAAATACTATAAAAAAACACTTTTAGGTTAATTGTGGCAATGATCAGAGATTCTTGTGTCCTGTTTGACCATGTATTAAAACCAAATTTCCCACACTTTTTCTCACAAGAGTCATTGCTTATTAAAAATGGTATCTTCACAATGCTTGCAGCTGCTGCTCTACTTTTGGTGGTTACTGGGAGGAGCTGCCTATTATTTCTGTAAGAGATGGTACTTCATTTTATCTTTCGAAGAACATGTCAACATCATGGGCTATACTTTGCTGCTAAACACAAGGTGGGCCAAAGAACATTCAAATGGTCCTGTGTAAAATGGCCAGCATTTCGCAGGGACTGCCCATGTGCAGTTAAATGTGAAAATGCAAAACCTGCTGTCTGAGATGCTCACATCCTTTGAAAGCTTTTCAAAAATGACTCACCTGCCATTTAAATTCAAATGACTGCTAACTGTCAATCAGCATTAATAGATGCATTCTCCATTACTCCAAACAACCTCTCTGGCACTGAAAATTAACTTTAAAAACAAACTGTCTCATTCCTCCAGATAAGTTAAGTAAAAATTTAACAAAAAATATTTTAAAGCAAAATACTGTAGATATTGGAGATTTGAAATAAAGTCATAAAATGCTCGAAAAACTCAGCAGATCAGGCAACTTCTATGATGAGAGAAACAGAGTTAGCATTTGGAGTCCAATAGCCTTTCTTCAGAATTGCAGTGGGCTGGAAAATGGCAGTTTTTATGCTGTTGCCAAAGGGGAGGAAGGACAAGTGGAATAGGCTTCATGATGTATGAACAGGTGTGAAATGATTTGTAAAGAAACCAGAGTATGTTGCTGCAATAAATTACCCACAATCTCAATCCTTAAACATTAATAACTGAGTATTTACAACATTAAAGGACAAGAGCTTCCTGTGCACTGAGCAGCTGTCAATTCTATAAATTCAGAATGAATCAGTGATCTTTGTGAATCGGGCACAGCCAGAAGAGAGGTGACTACAATGTAATTTCATTGATTTTCCTTTGCTATGAAGAAACTTAGACCTGCAAGGACTGGTACATGGATTGGAAATTCAAAAGAGTGGGCATTACGTGACAAATGGAGCAAATCAATTCTTGATATTATCCAAGTACAACTTTGAAAAAAAATGCATCGACATTATGACATAAATATGTTTCCTGCTTAATAGGCTACCAGGTTATAATGTGTATACACATTTTATAATTTGGTTTTATGCATTTATGAAAAACAACACTGTGCCTTTGTTTCAATAATTTAATAATGAAATCTTGTATTTGCTTGAATCATAGTTCAGGTTTCTTTGCTTATAATTATGGAGTGATATAGCACTGAATGAGACCATTCTCTTCCCATTGAGTCTATATCAGATCCTTGAAAATGCTGTCCAATGAGACCTACACCCTAGTTTTTTTCCTCATAAGCATGCAATTTCTTTCCTTTCAATTGCGCAGCCAACTTTATCTTAAAGGTTACAACTGAATCTGCTTCCACTGCTTTTCAATCAGCTTATTCCAGATTGTAACAACTCACTGTCTTGAAAAACTATTTTCATTTGTTCCCAGATTGCCTGGTTATCAACTCAATTGATCAAGTCAATCAAAAACACATAATTTTGATCACCTCTACTTATACTCCCCTAAACATCTCTGACCTCCATCTCTCTGAAATCTTTCATACCTAGAACTATTTGATAGTATCATTCAGCACAGCACCCACAAAGGATCAATAGTCAGATACTGAATAATACTCTCATTTACGACTTTTGTTCCCTCGGGTTCCAGGTGGTCGGAACACTGGGTAAACATGTCTTGTTTGACAAAATTAATCAAGTTTGCTTAAGTCAATAACTGTGATGCGATTTTCCTTATTATTAAGGCAGTGTGTAAACAATTGATTGCACATTACTTCATCCATTTACCATACATTCATGTTTAAATGGATTGTGGCTGAGGAGGGACAGGGTTGCTGCTGGTTGAATGAGGTTTTTCTTGGGACCCCAGGAAATCCTTAATCCACCTTGGAGTGATGGCCTGGAATATTAACCATCATCAGCAGTATTCCCTTCAACCATAAAACAATACGTCACTGGCCTAATCTGAATGTCCTGTTGTTGTATTAGATCTTCCTATATTTACTGTTTATGGATCTAAATTTTTTGATTATGTTGCAACTCTCTCCTCAATATCCATTATTTCCCACGTTACAAAATAGATGATCAATGCACTTATTATTGACAGATATCAATGACACATACTGAAGAAGCATACCATGGTTTAAAACCTCAGCCCATACTTAGTAATGACCTAAGCTTTCTTTATATACATACAAGAATGAAGGAAGATGACCAAAATAGTCAACACCATAGTGTAAGGAAATGCTGTTCCTTACATGATCACTTCAAGGATTAATTTTAGTCTCATAATTGTACATATGCTTAATGTGAATGTACATTCTCAACCTTGATTTCTCCTCATTAATAAATTGAACTCTTGGACAAAGAAGCCTATGGTGCAAACTTCAGCATATCAACTGTGAATAAGTAAATATAACTTAATTATTTAACTCAAAGCACGAAAGAATTTGAGTGCCTGGGATATTTCTTCCCGTCTCTATGTCGAAATAAAGTTACATGCCAACTGTGCGGAATTGTGCCTTTTGAAGACTGTATTCCGTTAATTCAGTGTTTTACTATGTAAAAGTCTAAACACAATACCTTTCTTTACAGAAAACCCATGGCTAATATGGCTGCCATTATGAGTGGATATAGCTATAGTAGGCATCTGTATCTTTGGAGAAGACAAGATAGTTGGTGTCCCCACGGGGGAATAATTAAACAATGTAGATCCATAACTCTGCCTTCGGCCCTCTCGTCTGTTGCTATCAATAGCTGCCTGCAACTCTCCAGGTGAGCTCAGCCCTCGTTTTTCACATTCATATGGATATAAGTACTTCATATATCTGGAAGGAAATGTAAAGAAAAAAAATTAGGTGCAAATACTCTCTGAAAAATAATTCATATTGCTTCATTTTCATTCTCTTCAGTGTGTGTTTGGTGTAATTCTGGGACTGTGACACCTTTGAATCTATTGCACCCATCATGAATACCAAACACTACCAGAACAAAACATAGTAAGCTTTATGTTAAACTTCATACCACTCTTCCTTCAAATCAAACCTTCAACTTAATTTTAGAAATCGTGCCTTTTGGAACACTAGTGTGACGTGCTTACTAAATTACAATCTGTAAAGAAAGCTACTACCATAACACAAGTCACCCTGAAGCAGGACGGGTTCACTGTATTTTACTGCATTATTCACTGTAAAATGCAAGTGATAATTCTCATTCATATTCATTTTGAAATTAAAATTCAGTTGCTGCTCAGAAAGGTCAGATTTGTTGAATACACAATAGGGAACTTATGGAAAACTAATGAATGGTGATAGTGTTTGGTGGGGAGGTCCATTTACCTGCAGGTTAATTTGGGGCTGAGTTATATTGTAGTTGTGGGGGAGGTGCAGTTGGATTAACAAAGTTGGGAAAGTGGATAGGAAATGCAGGAGGTGGGTGGGGAGGGGGACAGATCTTCATGGCCACAGCTTAGCTGAGCAGGAGGCAGTCACTTCCTTGTCTGGCAATAATACTGTCAGGTTTCACATTGTGCCTTGGACACTTGGCACCAGCCTACTCCCTGTGGGAGAAATCTAAGTGATGGTGGAAGGAGATCATTGATTGGCTGTTAAGTCACTATTGATTGGACATTGGCAATGATGCCAAATTTTTAGCCACAACTCCTTGCTGGACCTGCCAATCCATTTCCTTGGGAAATGTAACATTCTGGCCTTGGTGGATGAATTGCTTAACTTTTACACATACTTTTATACATCATGATATACACAAATGATCTGGAGGAAGGTATAGATGGTCTGATTAGCAAGTTTGCAGATGACACTAAGATTGGTGGAGTAGCAGATAGTGAAGGGGACTGTCGGAGAATGCAGCAGAATATAGATAGATTGGAGAGTTGGGCGGAGAAATGGCAGACGGAGTTCAATCCAGGCAAATGCAAGGTGATGCATTTTGGAAGATCCAATTCAAGAGCGAACTATATGGTAAATGGAAAAGCCCTGGGGAAAATTGATGCACAGAGAGATCTGGGTGTTCAGGTCCATTGTGCCCTGAAGGTGGCAACGCAGGTTGATAGCGTGGTCAAGAAGGCATACGGCATGCTTTCATTCATCGGACAGGGTATTGAGTACAAGAGTTGGCAGGTCATGTTGCAGTTGTATAGGACTTTGGTTTGACCACATTTGGAATACTGCGTACAGTTCTGGTCGCCACATTACCAAAAGGATGTGGATGCTTTGGAGAGGGTGCAGAGGATGTTCACCAGAATGTTGCCTGTTATGGAGGGTGCTAGCTATGAAGAGAGGTTGAGTAGATTAGGATTATTTACATTAGAAAGATGGAGGTTGAGGGGGGACCTGATTGAGGTCTACAAAATCATGAGAGGTATAGACAGGGTGGATAGCAAGAAGCTTTTTCCCAGAGTGGGGGACTCAATTACTAGGGGTCACGATTTCAAGGTGAAAGGGGAAAAGTTTAAGGGAGATATGCATGGAAAGTTCTTTACGCAGAGGGTGGTGGGTGCCTGGAACGCGTTGCCAGTGGAGGTGGTGGAGGCGGGCACGATAGCGTCATTTAAAATGTACCTAGACAGATACATGAATGGGCAGGGAGAAGAGGGATATGGATCCTTGGAAAGTAGGCGGCAGGTTTAGTTAGAGGATTTGGATCGGCGCAGGCTTGGTGGGCCAAAGGGCCTGTTCCTGTGCTGTAATTTTCTTTGTTCTTTGTTCTCTTTGTTCTTTTGGAAGATGCAAATACGTAGCTCTTCTGGGCTTGCCAACTGGCATCTGCAGCTTGCCAGAATTCAACTTTATAAACTCTCATGACCCACTAATGAATAGAATTACAATTACAGATTGGAATATTTTGTTTTGGAGGAATGAAGTGGGAACGACAGTTTGTACTATTTTATTTACCTTTGGCATTAATACACCTACACTTTAATTAGACTGAAACCTCCACGTTTCTACAAAGTTCAACAAATTAACAAAGGACTGAATGTATTGAAGATAGATTTGCTGATGATACAAAGTCAGACAGGAAAGCAAGTTCTGAGGAGGATATGGAAAGTCTGCAAAGTGATATGGGTAAGTGAAGACTGGGCAAAAGTTTGTCAAATGGAGTGTAACATAGGATATACAGACTTATCCACATTGATAGGTTGAACACAAAAAGCAGATGATTGTTAAAATGGTGACTGTTGTGGAATGCAGCAGTACAAAGGCATTTCGATCTCCTTGTGTCTACGTATCACAAGAGTCAGCATGCATGTACAGCAAGTAACTAAGAAGGCAAATGGAATGCTATTCTATATTGCAAAGGGGTTGGAAAATAAAAGTAGGGAAATCTTGCTGAAAGGACATTCGTGAAATCAAATTTAGAGTCCTATGCACAATTTAGGTTCAAGTTGTTGGTTGGTTCGCCGAGCTGACTGGTTTTTGTGCAAATGTTTTGTCTCCCTTCTAGGTGACATCTTCAATGCTGTCTAGCCTCTGTTGAAGCGCTGTTGTTTTGTCTGGCTCTGAATTTATATGGGTCTGTTCTGTCATGGTGAGTAGTCCTATTTCTGGTTTTGTACTGTAGTTGTACGTAGAGGACCAAAACCAGTCAGCTCAGCAAACCAACCAACAACTCCAACCACAACCTGAGCTACAAATCTTCGCAAAAACATTAAACAATTTAGGTTCCCTTATTTGAAGAAGGATGTATTTGCATTGGACACAGTTTACAGAAGGTTCATTAGGTTAATTCATAACATGAAGAATTGTCATTTGAGGAAAGGGTGGGCAGGTTGAGCCTGTACCCATTGGAGTTAGAAGAATGATCTTATTGAAAACATAGAATTCTGAGGGGGCTTGACAGCTGAGCTGCTTAGAGGATGGTTCCTCTCATGAAGACATTGAAAATTAGAGGGCATGCTTTCTAAGTAAGTGGCCTCCCTTTAAAGATGGCAATGAGGAGAAATTTCTACTTTCAGAGGATCATGAACCTTTGGAATTTTCTACCTGAGTAAGAAGTCAAGCCTGGGTCAGTAATTATTACCAATGCTCAATCAGACAGATTTTTGATTTAGAAGGAGCCAAGGGCTATGAATGGCAAGCAGGAGAGTAAAATCATGACCATAATTGGATCAGTCATGATCTTACAGAATGACCAAGCAGGCTCAAAGTGCCAAATGGCCCACTCTTTTTGTTTATGCTGTTCTGTTCTTCCACTACTACAGTCAGTGTTACTGAAATCTTTCAAAATTGTTACTTTGGAAGATGAAGATACTAAATTAGCCTTAATGCAAGTTTTAGATCCATTAAGATTGAACTGATCTTAGACAATTGTATTCAACTGAACTTCTGACAGTGACTTTTTGTTCAGATGATATGGAGTTTTATTTGTTAAGGAACAGCAATATCATTTATGTGAAAAGGGCATGAAGACAACAGAACAGCAGGTTTTAACCAGCAACAGCAAGGAGATAATTCTTTTTAACTAAGCAAAATGTAGTTGACACATTAAAGATCAGACAGAACATTAGGGGTGGCAAATAGGAAAGATGGTCTGAAAATACATGTGATTATTTGGATGATATTATGGGTAATTTATTTTGGACTTCAATATAGGACTATAGTTAAGAACTTATATAATGGAAGGTAACTTATGTCTGATATGCAACAAGATAATAGGAAATTGTAAAATATCTATGATATTTATCACCTTTGAAGAAAAGAAAGCAGAAAATCATGTACTTGTAATCATATTATCAGAGTGCCCCAAAAAAACATAAAGTTTTTCTCTCAAGCAGAGAAATCGGTAAGTTATATGATGCAAGTTTTTAACTTGGCAAAATGCTTCAATAAAGTAGATCCAAGTAAACTTTCTAGCTGCATGCATATCCTAAGGACAAATTAAGGACATCAAAAGAAGACGATAAGCAGGAGAAATATTTTTACAAAACAATGCAGAACAGACCACTGACAAAAGTTGTGGAACAAGAGTCTCTAGTGAGTTTCCCAAAAGGACAGGGAAGATTCTTCTCAACAAATGAAATTTGGTGGACAAGAAATTTGTGGACATGTTATTGTGGACTCGTTAATAAAATGAACCTCTTCTGCTGAGAGGCCAGAACTTTAAACTTTGTTAGGTGTACAAAATGGACAGTCTCAGATTAGCCACTCCTTACATTCTCCAACTGATCCATTGAAGTTAACCCTCTGCTGAATCTTACATTTCTGTGTTATTATGGAGAATAGAAACTCCAAAAATGGAGGCAACATTTGTGGTTTTAAACTGCTTGAGAGCATGATTCAGGATCTGCTGACATTCACCTGTCGATGCTGGAAGAATGGTCACTATGATTTCAGAAACAACAGCCATGGTTCGTGAACCTACTAGATGGGAAATATGTAAATAATAAGGAGGGACCCACTATCCAATTGATACTATTCCAATTGAATTTCATATGTTATTTGATAATGTTCCATATGTAAAGCTTTAAACAGCACTCAGCATCATTGATAGAACAGCAAATTCACAGAATTACTACAGTGCAGAAGGCGGCTATTTGGCCCAACGAGTCTGCATCAACCCTCTGAACAGCATCCCACCCTGACCCCCCCTATCTCCATAACTCTGAACACATGCGCTAATCCACCTAACCTGCGCATCCTTGGACACTACAGGACAATTTAGCATGGCCAATCCACCTAACCTGCACATCTTTCATTCAGTTCACTAGATTTAGAATTGACTTTGCTGTCAATGTCAGAAAATGTCGTTAAATTAAAATCTGTTGGGAGGAACAGACTTTATTGGTTAAAATATTCCTTTTGTGCTGTAGATGACCTTAAATTACTCAACAGGTGGCCTGCTGTGTCCTTCAGCATTGTTTCTCTATTGCTTAACAGAGTGTTTACTTTTGCTTTTTCTTCCTAACACAACGGCAATTAAAGGTCTGAAAATTATCAGCGCTGCACCTATACTGTATAAACACTGGTCTAAACATTGATTGCTGCTGCCTAAATTAAAATGGGATACCAAACCAGCCTATAGGAATTACCGATTGAGCTGAGCTTGAGAGGCCTTTACAAGTCCCCTAATTATTGAAGCTTGTGATTGTGTTAAACTAAAATGCAGTGTTTAAGTTGGTGCAGCTCCCATATCATAGCACCTAACCCCTCTGGATTGCAGACCCCACCTCATAGCCCCTCATAGGTCGTGGCATAGTATTAGGGTCCCTGGGTTAGCAACGTAAAACCGCAGGCCAATATTTTTGGGCCTACATTCAACTCCCAGGAAGACAAACGGTGAAATTTTGAATTCAATAAAATCTGCAAATAGAAGCTAGCTAGATGGCGACCATGCAATCCCTGCAAATTGTGGTTAAAAACCTAATTGATTCATTAATATCCTTCAGAGATGGGGAAATCTGCCATCTTTACCTGATCTGGCCTACGTCTGACTCCAGACTCCTAGAAATCTGGTTGACTCTTTCATACCCTGTGAAATGGCCTGGAGCAAGCCATTCAGTTGTATCAAAATGCTACAAAGTATAAACAAACGAATGAAACAGGGTGGATCACCTGGCATTGACCTAGGCACCAGAAATGACAACAAGGAACACAGGCCTGTTGACCCTGTAGAGTCCTCCTTACCAACATGTCGTGGCTTGTGACAGAATTGGGAGAGCTACCTCACAGAATAGTCATGCAACAGTCTGAGATAAACATACTCACAGAATCACAGATGACACACAATGCCCCAGACATCAACATCACCATCACCATCACCATCACCATTGCCACCAACATCGCCATCATAATCTCTGGGTATATCCTGCCAAACCTGGAGAGAGACCTAACGTGAGAGGTGATGGTACACTACTGCACAGTCGGGAAGGAGATGTCCTCAGCACTGACATCTGAACCTTTTGATTACCATCTAGTGCCATTCCCTCGGCTCATGAATCAGTTCTTCTCCATGGTGAATACCTCTTGGAGGAATCACTGAGAGTGGCAAAAGCACAGGATACACTCTGGGTGAGGGACTTCAATTTCCGTCGCATGGATTCCATAGATTCACTCCATGTGATATCAAAGAATTATGACCAGGGATTCTATTCTATTCTTTAATTGCTAATGACATTCGATACTGCAAAGGCTCTGGGCCCTGACAACGTTCAAGCAATGATACCAAAGATTTTTACTCCAGAACTAGCTACTGTAGTACAACGGCAACACTGAAATCTACCTGACAGCGTGGAAATTTACACAGTTATGTCCTAAATCCTTAGATACTGGAGCAGTCCATGTCCATATGTAGCAAGATCTGGACAATATGCAGGCTTGGGCTGATAAGTAGCAAGTAACATTCATGTCACAGAAGTCCCAGGGAATGAAAATCTCCAACAGGAGAGAAACTAACCATTGCTTCCTAATGTTCAATGGCATCACCATTGCTCAATCCCACACTATTATCATCCTGGGAGTTACCACTGCCTAAAAACTGAACAGGACCTGCCGTATAAATACAATGGCTACAAGGCCACGTATGAGGTTAGCAATTCTGCACTGAGTGACCCATCTCCTGTCCACTATCTACAAGGCATCGAGGAAACCAAGCTTTGCAGAACACCTACGCTCAGTTCGCAATAAACAACTTCACCTCCCAGTCGCGAACCATTTCAACTCCCCCTCCCATTCCTCAGACGACATGTCCATCCTGGGCCTCCTGCAGTGCCACAACGATGCCACCCAAAGATTGCAGGAACAGCAACTCATATTCCGCTTGGGAACCCTGCAGCCCAATGGTATCAATGTGGACTTCACAAGCTTCAAAATCTCCCCTCCCCCTAACGGCATCCCAAAACCAGCCCAGCTCGTCCCCGCCTCCCTAACCTGTGCTTCCTCCCACCTATCCCCTCCTCCCACCTCAAGCCCCACCTCCATCTCCTACCTACTAACCTCATCTCGCCCCCTTGACCTCCCTGGACTGACCTATCCCCTCCCTAACTCCCCCTCCACACTTACCTTTACTGGCTCCATCCCCGCCTCTTTGACCTGTCTGTCTCCTCTCCACCTATCTTCTCCTTTATCCATCTTCTATCCGCCTCCCACTCACCCCCTATTTATTTCAGAATCCCCTTCCCCTCCTCCATATCTGAAGAAGGGTCTAGGCCTGAAACGTCAGCTTTCCTACTCCTCTGATGATGCTTGGCCTGCTGTGTTCATCCAGCTCTACACCTTGTTATCTCACTTGATTACTATTCCATCCACTGCCTTCAACATTCACTTCCTCCATCACTGACACGTGGTGGCCACGCTGTGTACTATTTACAAGATGCACAGCAGTAATTCTCCAAGGATATCCCAACAGCACTTTCCAACCCTGCACCCACTAACACCTAGAAGGAAAAGGGCAGCAGATACAAGGGAACAGGACATCCTCCAAGTTACACACCATCTTGACTGTGAAGTATATCACTGTCACGGGGTCAAAGTCCTGGAAGACCCTTCCTAACGACATTGTAAATCGACCCAAACCTCAATGACTATAGCAGGTGAAGAAGGCAGCTCACTGTCGCTTTCTTCAGCGTAATTAAGGATGGGAAATAAATGCTGGCCTATCTAGCAATGCACACATCCCATGAAGGAATGTAAAAAAAACTCCTCCATTGCAGATCACATATCATTGCCCCACCCAACCACAATCTGTAAATACTCATCAAAATTATCTCGATTTTAAAACATTCCTTCTTGTTTTTGAAATCATCCATGACGTTGCCCCTCCCTAACTCTGTCATTCCCTCTATCTCCACAAATCTCTGAGATAACCATGCTCTTCTCAATCCAGCCTCATGAGTGTCCTGAATTTACTCACTTGATCAACGGTGCCCGTATCTTCGGCTGCCAAGGCCCTAAGTGCTGGAATTCACTCCTTAAGCCCATCTACTTCACTACTTCAGTTTCCTCTTTTATGACAATCCTTAGGATTTGCCTTTTTGAGCAAGCTTTTGGTAATGTCACCTAATATACCCAACTAACGATGTGGTTTGGGGAAAAATTTTTTTTAGTGACATTTGGATATTACCTGCACTGGCTGAGGGTGCATGAAGAACTCTGTTTCTGAACTTCTCTCCTCACCTGAGATGTAGTGATTCTCAGGTTAAACAGGTCATCTCTCTCTAATGAGATAGCAGCCCTACGGTCTAGTAAGATTATGGCAACTTTACTTTATTACCCTACTTTGAAGGGGATATTTAAATGTAAGTTGTTGAATATTTTCTCTTTCACATGCACTGCAAATTATTTCTATTTTAATTCATGTTTAAATTGAAACACTACTTTTGGTTAACTTTTGTGGATTGATTTACAATGCTGTTAGGAAGGGCCGTCCAGGAATGGTTGGAATGGGCAGATGATTTCTCTAATCCTCACGGTTGTTAAAGTGCTTCTTTGTTTCTTTCGCCATTATATTCACAGCCCACAGTTTTGAAGTTGGCTAGTCTGCTCACTGCCTCAGTCAACAGTGATTTTGCATTGACTGTTAGGAAGTCTTGTTTTCTGACTTACGCACCACCCAAAACATTTTCCTTCTTTCTACCTTAGTGACCCAACTGAGCTTGGCAATGCATCGAGCGGACAACTGCAGGGAAAGTAAGCAATGGTTATAGTCCTGATACCAGCCGGTTAAAGAATCACACTATCATACTGTGTAAGCAGTGTTCCCTATATGGGGCTGTTTCTCAGATAGTTTTACTGTAATATTAACTATAAAATACTTTTCTTTAACTTACTGGGTTCTCAGGGTGAAAGCAGCGCTGGTGATAGAGGTAGGGAGGTTGAGGCCTTTGGTGATTTCACGCCAGATCTTCTTATTGATGACTTCCACTAAGCCACCTTTTTCAGTGACCAGCTTGTACAGACTGTACAGATCTAACACCTGCTTGGCCATGATGGGAATCCGATTCACTGGAGTCCCTGCGTAAATGAAAAAAATATCCACAATCAATTGCATTAGCTTCAACAAATCGACAGACATCCCACAGTTATAGGCCAATTAATTTGACCAACTAAAACACCTAATTGCTCACTTTCTGTCAAAAAGAAAAAAAATACTTTCTCCTCCTCTCCGGGTATCGATGTTGCAAAGATAATTAATATAAAAATTACTATTATATTGTGTTCAACGATAATTTAAAGAGAAGCTAGATCCAGAATATTTAGCTCTAACTTGTTTGTAATGGAGGAGCCAAGCAGCGTGGTGTTGACCCAAACTGCAAGATATTATTCGTGTGAAGAGTGAAAGGGATGAGATTAAACAAGAAGTGTTTAGGTGACACCAAACTTAATATTTTAAGATAATTGTGGGACAAATGAAAAATAAACCATACAAGTTCTTCCCGGCATTCAGTTATATCTATTGTTTTATTACTTTTATATGTTCCCATTTAGTTAATTCTCTTCTAGAAGCCGTTACATCGTTTATTTCAACAGCTAACCTATGGAGTAATATAAACCAATAGAATGCATCTTTTCAGTCTGATCAAATGCATTGATATCAATCATTGATCCTGCTTATATTATTAAAGTTACAGTATTAATCTGGTTTAATCATGTGACACAAGTGAAAACTAACTGTCTGTAATAATGATCATTCTGGTAAAAGGAAAAAAAATTAACTGAAAATGAGAAAAATTTAGTATTCATTAATGAGTACATATTCAGTGATGTTCATCAATGGACCTAAATGTAACAGTCTGGATTTTATTCAAATTCCAGGGCACCTGAAAGTAGTTGAATAGAGTCAGAGTCTTGGAACTGTACAGCATGGAAACAGACCCTTCAGTCCAACTCATCCATGCTGACCAGATATCCTAAAGTAATCTAGCCCCATTTGCCGGTATTTGGCCCATATCACTCAAAGCCCTGAGGAAGGGTCACCGGACCCGAAACGTTAACTCTGATTTTTCTTCACAGATGCTGTCAGACCTGCTGAGCTTTTCCAGCAACTTCTGTTTTTGTTGCCTCTAAGCCCTTCCTATTCGTACACCGTCTAGATGCCTTTTAAAAATGTTGTAATTGTACCAGCCTCCATCACTTCCTCTGGCAGCTTATTCCATACATGCGCCGCCCTCTGCGTGAAAACGTTGCCCCTCAGGTCCCTTTTAAATTTTCCCCCTCTCACCTTAAACCTATGCCGTCCAGACTCCCCAAACCCGAGGAAAAGATCTTGGCTATTCATCCTATCCATGTCCCTCATGATTTTATAAACCTCTATAAAGTCACCCCTCAGCCTTTGATCCTCCAGGGAAAATAGCCCCAGTCTATTCAGCCCCTCCCTAACCCTCCAACCCTGGCAACATCCTTGTAAATCTTTTCTGAATCCTTTCAAGTTTCACAACATTTGTCCTGCAGTGGGGAGACCAGAATTGCACACGGTATTCCAAAAGTGGCCTAACCAATGTCCTGTACAGCCGCAACATGACCACCCAACTCCTATATTCAATGCACTGACAAATAAAGGCGAGCATACCAATGCTTTAACACAGGCATTGAAACCAAACGTGTTCATTAGAGGCCAATCATTGCAATCTCAGGATGTCATGGCAAGATGGCTCAGTGGTTAGCCCTGCTGCCTACAGCAGCAGGGACCCAGGTTTGATTCCAGCCTCAGGCAACTGTCTGTGTGGAGTTTGCACATTCTCCCCGTGTCTGCGTGGGTTTCCTCCGGGTGCTCCAGTTTCCTCCCACAGTCCAAAGATGTGCAGGGTAGGTGGATTGGCTGTGCTAAATTACCTATAGTGTCTGGGCATGTGAAGGCTAGGTGGATTATCCATGGGAAATGCAGGGTTACAGGGATAGGGTGGGTCTGGGTAGGATGCTCTTCAGAGGGTCAGTTTGGACTAGATGAACCTAATGGCCTACTTCCACACTGTAGGGATTCTATGATTTTATGAAGTTCCTCAACCCAAACATCTTCATCCCCATCAGTGATCACCTGCTTCCCCCACACAACCATGTCGCTCCCTAGTTAAGTTTGAGACTGTTAATGAATTTGCCATGTTCAGCCACATTCACAATGTTGTCAACTCTTCCAATAATGAAGCAGTTCTGCCAATCCACAACTTAAATTGGACATCAAGCATGAGCTGGAAAATAGGATGAAATATAGATTTGACCCAGGATTCATTAAGCTCCCTAACATAAGTGCCCTGGGATCATGAACAAACATTGAACAGAACCAACCATTTGCATTCCATGATTACAAATGCAGGTTAAAGATTGTATGGTGTGTATTTGGGGACTTGTTTCCTCATCTTCGAAGAATGAAGGGTGGAGAATAGAGGCAGAAGAATAGAGGCAGAAGAAGTACTGAAATGAGCAAATAGGACCTACTGCCCTGAACTGAATTCTGTGTTCTTGCACTTGCCAGTGTTTTCACTCATGACTGTACACAAGTACATGTGAATGATTGGGAGGTATCAAAATCTGGGTCCTCAGCCGAAAACTCCCTCCTATTCAATCGCTCCCCTGAACTGCCATGTGAGCAAGACAGCAAGCCAAGCTCTAGAAAAGACAGGCCTGGGAAATGCAGCAAATAGAGAAAAAGAACCTTGTGGAGGTCTCATTTGTTTCTAATCGCATATTGATGAAAGCCTCAGTGTTATCTGGTGCTCCAGGAAAGATTCTACTGCAGCAAGGCCTTGATTTTACTTTTGGGAGTGGGTTTTTCCTTGTGATTGGGATCCTGTTTGTAGCTTCTCTGGTCATGTTGGGATCAAGGCAGATATCCGCAGCCTTTGGTAGAAAGATCAGGAAAATCTAGCCCTAAATCCAAAGGTACAATTAACATTTTTCTAAATTATTGATGCCCTGAACTAGCATTTGCATCCTGTCTAATGTGTGCAATACTTTGGCACAGCAATTTCAAATAGGATCCAGAGTACATTGCTTCAGCTTTTGAACAAAACCATCACACTTGCTGAGATTGTTAAATGCTCAAACCACACTGCAGATATCATGAGATATGAGATGATGTATCAATATAGAAGGCAGATTATTGAACTTGATAATGTGTGTGTAAGTGGTTCTTTTGTATGTTTGGCCTTTCTAATTAACCCGAGGTTATCCAAGAGAGCCATGTAGTAAGCTGTAGATTTATGATAATAGCATGAAGACTAGTTCATTAAATATACGCCTGGCTTTATAAATCTCAGTGCACACAAGTGTTTCCTTCAAGGAGAACTTGGAAATTACATTGGCATGGAATTTTTATTTAAAAATGTTGCATCTTTCCCCGTGAATCAAAATAAAAATAGAAACTTTTGGTGTTTTAAAATATCCACTTCATGTTTTTAATTTTGTTCTGGTCTTCAGAGAGATTAATGCTCTCTGAGATTAATACACTATTAATTAGTGTATAAATTGAACCTCCTGTCAAGTCGCCAGAATTCAAAGTGTTGGTTTTCTGGATGTGTCCAATGTGAAGGGGGTGCAAGGGACCAGCGGAGTACACCAGCAAATTCTTTTCACGCCTGCAGCTGGAGTCAAATGCAGGCCTAGCCAATTACAGTGGAGCCACATCTTGAATTTCCATCTTGTCCTCATCAGGAATACCAAATTCCAAACAGTCGCAGCAATTTATTATTTTTATTTATTCATGGGATGTGAGCATTGCTATTTGGGACAGCATTTATTGCCCACTTCTAGTTGCCCTTGAAAAGGTCGCGGCCCAGCCAGCAACACCCACATCCCACGAAAGAACCAAAAAAAATCGACAGGAGAACGGAGCGCTGATTGATTGGTAAATCAACTCTGCTCGGTGAGGTTTTTCTATAGAGCCAGCAACAGGCAGCTATAGATCCCAGCGATCGTTAGTGAATGTAGTTCTCTTGCTTGCAGAGAATGAGTCACTACGTATGAATTCAATTCACTTCCAGCAAGTGCGAATATTACGAACCTCACAAGCACAACCGATTTTCATAACTTGGTTCTGAGTGTGGCTGTTAATGCACTCAGGATTGTTTAGCATGTGATGAACAATGACTAATTGCTTGCTTTAACCTGGGAAAAAGCCAAATGCATAAAGGTTCACGGCTATAATCATCTTCACAGTGATTGGCCACGGTGTCCTTATCCTGCTCTGAGGTTGCAACTGTGGCTGATGCCAGATGAGGATCTCCTTAACATAATGTTCCTTATGCAGATTTGGGTGAGAGAATTGTTCCTTGAATATCCTGGGTAGGTATTCCTCTGCTCAGAACGTTTCTCCTACTTCTCCCTCTTCCATCTGTTTGTCCTGCTGCGTCACTTGTGCTCCGTGTCATGTAGTGATCCAAGGTAAACTACTGTACCTACATGTGGGAGCGAGTGCTCTGTGCACAGTTCTTGAAGTTCAGCCTAAATCCTTTAGCAGGTGTCATATAACTCACTGCAGACTTGAACAACTTCAAATAAACCATGGATACCACCAACCATGACTACGGTTGAATCAAGAACCAAAATCAACCAGCAACTGACCAAAAATAATCGGTGATCCCTGCAAATAGGTTACTAGTAGAGGTTACTTTCTGCTGCTGGAAACATGTTCGATCATGCACGATGGGAAGACGGTTTTAGCTGAAGCACTGAGTTGCAAAGTGTCAGCATTACATACTGATTTATGTAAGAATCTACCTACTCTGTACACATCCAACAGACTATTATGCATCCGGGTAAACACTTTAACAAAGTGGAATCTGGTTTGGCTTACATAAGAACTGTGCACATGTCTAACAGCTTTCATTGTGTGAGCAAACTGGCAGTTTCAGTATTGAAAAAACAAAATACTAAGAAGCCTAATTACATGCTCAACCTGTTTTTATGAAATTAACCCATTTCAGTGAAGTTGTAATTTGTTTAAAATAAAATATATTCAGTTACAAAATTCTATAGAGGAAAGGCAGTTATTTCAGTTAATTTACATTGTTAGCAAGAAGTTAGATAATGCAATTTAATCTTATTTCAATGCTTTCTGAATATTGAAAATTAAACTCAAAGTCGTGTTGAGGCAAACCAACAGATGCCATTTTCAAACTACAATAATATGTTTTCGGGCCAGATTTTCATGCAGTCAGGAAGACTCCATGAACCTTCAGAATGATGAGGGGGTATTAATGTGGATATTTTTTATGTCCACATTTTCTACAGATTCAAATATTAACCCCTGGCTCATCAGCCCAGCCTCTACCTCTGCTTTGCCCTCAGCCTTCCCTGTCCCACTTACTGCCATCCCCTCCTGCCATCTCCCTCCAAAATCCCCATTCTGGGGCTAACAGCACAGGCTGCATTTTGGGTGAGAGACTGTGGAGGTGACATGTGGGTTTGAGGTGGGGGGTGGGGGGATGTGAGGTAGTTGAAGGCATGAGGCATGAGGAATGGAGCTAGGGGTTTGACAGACTCTAAAATGACTGGGATAAAATCTGGGGGTTGGGTGGGGTGGTGCCCTCTCACCAGCCAGTCTTGTCATTTGGCCTTTTCTTCATCACTTCAGGATTGTGGGCCTGGCTCAATTGCGCCCCAAATCCCTGGAGAAAAAACTAGATCTGGAGGTCTTTAAACTGAGGGATATGTGGAAAGACAGAAAATGTCCAAACTCAACCTCCCTGCCTTGGGAGCAAAAATCTGTCCTTATATCTGTTTTTGTAAAATGAGTCAATTTGAGATAAATTCTTCTATGAATGCCATGATCTACAAGCAGTGACCAGCAAGGGTCTAAGTTGGAAATCTTTGTTTGCAATGTCTTATTTAACTTCTTCACCTTTATTAGCTTCAGCACGAATGTATTAGGTAAATCCAATTCAATGTGTGAAAGCCAGTGGTATAAAATCAATACTTCACTGAAATTGATGTATCTTTACTCGATTGAAACATTGTTTTTTACTCAAACTAACACATTTTTATTTTAGCCAATTCACTTAAAGTGCTAACACCATGCTGGTATTCTTTAAAAAAAGTAATTTCAAAAAAATACAGTTTTGCATTTCATATCTCTCACAGAATTGCTACAGTGCAAAAGGAATCCATTTGGCCCATTGTGTCTGCACTGGCTCTCTGAATGAGCAGTTCCCACACTGACATTCTGCCACATTCACCCCTGTAATCCTGTACGTTCTTCCTTTTCCGGAAACAGTCCAATTCTGCTTTGAATGATTTGACAAAACCCAGCTCCACAACAAGCTCAGGTGTTAAAGTTCTAAATTGGAGTAAGGTCAGTTTTGATGGTCTGAGACAGAAGGTTTCAACAGTTGATTGGGGTAGACTGTCTGCAGGTAGAAGGGCTTCCAACAAGTGGGAGACTTTCAAAAGCGAGATAACGAGAGTTCACAGACAACATATTCCTGTTAGAATGAAGGGTAAGGCTGGCAGGAGTAGGGAACAGTGGATGAATAGAGATAGCAAGGTTCTGGTCAAGAATAAGAAAGTGTCATATATCAGGTATAGATGGCTGGGATCACCTGAATCTCTTGAACAGTATAAGGGGAGTAGGGTCATTCTTAAGAGGGAAATCAGGAAGACAAAAAGGGGAAATAAGATAGCCTTGGCAGATAAAGTTAAGGATAATACAAAGTGATTCTGCAAGTATGTTAAGGGCAAAAGAGCAACGAGGGAGATAACAGGCCCCCTAAAGATCAACGAGGTTGTCTTTGTGTGGAGCTACAGGAGATGGGTGAGATACTAACTGAGTAATTCATTCAGTATTTATTATGGAGAAAGACATGGAAGCTAGGGAGTATGGGGAAATAAGTATTGATGTCTTGAAAACAGTCCACTTTACAGAATAGGAGGTGCTGGGGGGTCTTATAAAGCATAAAGGTAGATAAATCTCTGAGACCTGCTCAAGTTCCACACAAGAGATTAGTAAGGAAAAATAAAACTGATGGTATTGGAGGTAATATATTCTCATGGATAGAAAACTGGTTGGCAGGCAGGAAGCAGAGAGTTGGAATAAATGGGTCATTTTCAGAGTGGCAGACAGTGACTAGCGGATGGCCACAGGCTGCAGGGTAACTTGGACATGCTGGCTGAGTGGGCAAGTACTTGGCAAATGCAACGTAATGTGGATAAATGTGAGGTAACCCACTTCAGTCACAAAATCAGGAAAGCTGATTATTATCTGAATGGTGGCGGTTGAGGAAATACGACCAGGGTGTCACAGTGGAAGAGTCACTAAAGGCTGGCATTTAGGTGCAGGAGGCGCTGAGGAAAGCTAATGGCATTTCGGCCTTCATTGTGACAGGATTTGAGTATCGGAATAAAGGGATGTCTTGCTGCAGTTATACAAGGCTTTGGTGAGGGCACACTTTGAGTATTGTGTGCATTTTGATCTCCTTGTCTGGGGAAGGACATTTGCGCTATTGAGGGATGCTCTGAGGGTCAGTGTGGACTTGTTGGGCCGAAGGACCTGTTTCCATATCGTAGGGATTCTATGATTCTATGATATAGGAGAAGCACAGGAAATTGGGATTAGCGCATCTTTAGTGGTAGTTATTGTCAGTGCAGACTTGATGGGGCAAAGGGCATTTTCTCTGCTGCATGACTCCAAGACTCTTTGATTATCAGGGAAAGGGTTGCACCTATTAGAGGCCAAAGGGGCAATCTGTGTGTGGAGCCAGTGGATGTGAGTTAGGTATTCGATGAATACTTCTCATCATTATTTACATAGGAGAAAGACATTGCATTTCAGTTGATGACTTTTGAGGAGGTCTAATAAGGGAAGGAAATACACATTAAATAGTAGGTCCCTAGGAAGTACTGAGGAACAAAGGGACCTTGGTGTACAAGTCCCCTAGATCCCAGAAGCACAGTTTGACAGGGTGGTGAAGAAGGCATACGGGGCACTAGCCTTCATTAGCCAGGGCATAGATTATAGGAGCAAGGAAGTCTTGTTAGAAATTTATGAAACATTGGTTAGATCACAGATGGAATACCATGTGCAGTTCTGGTCACCATACTATCAGAATGATGTGATTATATTGGAAAAGGTACAGACAAGATTCACCAGGATATTGGGATGAATAGTCTCAGTTATGACTTGGGTTTGTTTATCTTGGACTAGAGGAGGCTGATTGAGGTATACAAAATTGTAAGAGGCATAGAAGAGTAGACCGTGAGAATCTTCTTGGTGAGAGGCACATGCGATGGCAGAGTTAGAGAGTGTTGTTTGTGTGAGTATGAGATAGCAGAGTAAAAATTGTTACACTCAACTGTGCGGAATGTAGAAGATCATTAACCTTCATTTTGCACTTCTCTTCACTCACAATATAGTACTGAATGAGGCTGCTACCTGGGTCCGGGCTGGTTGATTCTGGTTGTGTGGCAGCCAGTAGGAAAAATCATCACCCTCCTCTCAACTACCCCATCCACCAGCAACTCCTGCACCCTCTTAACAGAGCAGGGTGCCAGCCTCCCTTTCTGGGCTGTGTCCTTGCTTATAATTGTTGAGCAACACAGCTAAAGGACCAGTTCTTGGAATGCAGCACCTGAAGTGTAGTGCAGCTGGCCTTTAAATACATTGTGAGCAACGTGAACAGTGAAACCCACTGGCACGGTGAGGACTTCCACCTCTCCTGCCCATGACTCCACGAGAAGGGCACCGCTGAGCCTGGATGATTAACAAATGGGGTGAGGAGCAGAGAATTGTATGAGGAGTCGTTCTGAATCATAGCAGGGCAAGCCGTCATGAATCTCATTCAACAAAGCACTTTAATGGGACATTTGAGCCGGTTGCTGGCAAAGTGCTTTCAGAGGTCCATTGGCTGTGAAGCTGCAATGCCATTGAATGGATCTTAGAAAGGTCATAGGACAGAGGATGTAATTTTGTCTGTTATGTCGATACTGGATTGCCAGAAGAGGAATTCAACTAACGTCATGACCGACAGTGGTTGCGCTGAATCATCTAATCCCTGTCTATGTGGTTTGCTCATCGACTTGCACACATTCTGAATTTGACTAAACCTGTTTCAGATTTTAAAACGTGCCAGAAGTAGTCTCAGCCATATTACAAATTGATTATTTAGTTTTTGCGTAGTGTTCATCCCAGATTGCACCAAGGCTGCTTATTTGAAGGACTTCATTTTTTTATATACTTTGAAAGCATCCAACTTGTACATAGATAGAACAGTACAGCACAGTACAGGCCCTTCGGCCCACGATGTTATGTCGAATTTTTACCCTAATCCTAAGGTCTATCTAACCTCCACTCCTACCTTATACTATCATCCATACGACTATCTAATAGCCGCTTAAATGCCCCTAATGAGGCCGACTCCACTACCCTCTCCGGCATTCCACGCCCCGACCACTCTCTGAGTAAAGAACCTACCTCTAACGTCCCCCCTATATCTACCCACTTTAAAACTATGCCCCCTCGTAATAGCTACCTCCACCCTCGGAAAAAGTCTCTGGCTGTCTACTCTATCTATACCTCCGATCATTTT